ATAATAATAATATTATCTCAGTAAATTACTACATTGCAATATTTTAGACAATGTTTATGTGCGCATAATCTTGAAAGATTAATAAACTACATACGTTCCATTTTTATTTTATAATTTAAAGCACAAATAAAAATATCTAAACAAATTTTTAAAAAATATTACAACGCCTTTTTTGGATTGTAATTACTTTCGTAAAAAAAGAAAATAACATAGCATATATCATTTTAGAAAACATAGCTTTAATTATTAAATTTGCTTTAATTTATGATTACAACATATAATTTGATTTATTTAAAAGATTTATTGATATTGATATTGTAAATATTTTTTATTATGAGATATTATTATATCTTAATTATATTATATCTTATTATATCTTTAAGATTAGCCTCTTTTGTAAAAAGCCTAAATTTGAATTACATCGTAATGACATAATAATTCCATCATATCATGAATTATTTTCATTATTAGGATCAATTTCCGGAATCTTACAATCATGCACCACTGCATCCCGTTGAAAATCGTTTATGGCGAAATCCCGAAAATCTTGGCGAGATTTCTGGAGTCGCTGTGGATCCATTGGGTAATCCCGTGATTTTTCATCGCGGAGATCGAACATGGAATTACGAGTAAGAATCGTAGAATAAATTAACATAATAATAATTAAAAGCGTATAGCAATATAAAATAGCAAAAAAAGATTATACTTTTAAAAATTATCTAATTTTTTAAATTTTTAATAAAATATGTGTGATATAAAATAATTATTAAAATAATTATATAAAATAATAATTTCTTTATTAAGAATTTTTAATGTAAAATATTGTCGTGTCTCTCATTGTAATGCATCTGATGCGAATTTTCAGAACATTTAACGAAAACGCAGAATATCAAGAAAAATACAAAGGTCCTATTCATAGTGACACAGTGTTAACACTGGACCCTAAAACCGGCGATATTATTCGCGGTTGGGGAAATCAGACGTTTTATTTACCGCACGGGATTCACATCGATGGCCTTGGAAACATATGGCTGACCGATATTGCTCTTCATCAAGTATTCAAGGTACGTAGAGAGATCCATAGCAAAGCCTATTTTAGGACACAAACAGTCTTAATAATTATTATAATAATAAAAATAACAGAATCAAATCTCTCACAAATGGTGTTGTTAAATAACAAAACATTGCATTATAATTTTAAGATATCTAAAAGAAGAAAAGGCATTAAAGATTTTAATTAAATGTGTTGTAAACATAATTATGCATAAGTGAATTACATCAGATATATAAACATATTGCAAATTAATACAGGATTTTCGTTATCCAGCATTCGATCTATTAAAACATATTATAATCGGTCCTCGTAACTATTATTATAAAAAAATTAATGAAATCGATTATATTCGTATAAATTATAGTATTCGCCTTCCGGAGTCCCTCGACTGATCCTCGGTCAACGATTCGAGCCTGGAAACGACATGGAACATTTCTGCCAACCAACTTCGGTCGCGGTTTTACCGAGTGGCGAGATCGTCGTCGCTGATGGATATTGCAATAATAGAATAGTACTATTCGACAAAAGGGGCAATCCCAAGTATAGTATTGGCGAACGTACGTTTAATATAATTAATGTTAAAATTAATATTAGAGTCAATCTTAAATTGTTTATACTGATTCTTAAAAGTAGAACTTAGACCATAATTAATAACTACAGGTAATATTAATACTACACAAAATAAGTATATAATGGTAATAAAAAGTAAAGCACAAGTGTTCACGAATAGAATTTAATGGTCTTTAATTTTATCTTTTCATTGTTCAATTTTTCTACTTTTAATAATGTAATTAGAAGAAAATAATTCTTTTTATCTTTTGCTTGTAAAAATTCATCTGTATATTAATAAACAAATTGTCTCTGCTAAATCATTCAAAATATTTTAATAAAATTAATGTATTTACACTTTTAGATTGGATTTCTTTAAGAATTCCGCACGCCCTGACGATTTTGCCAAATAAACAAGTGTGCATCGCTGATCGTGAGAATTCGAGGATTGTGTGCTTGGATGTGATATTTTCCGATTTAAATCAAAATCCCGAATTTCCATATTCCATTCGTCATCGACAATTTGGTCGCATATTCAGTATTGCGTCGTACCGTAAGTAAAACTCATGATAAGTACAATGTATTGAATGATTAATGATTATTATTATAAATTAGCATTTAATCCTGACTCGAAATTGTCGCGCATTTCAGATCTAATATATTATCAAATCCAATCGACATATTTAGATCAGATTGAACTCGCAGAATAAAATCAAAAAAATTAACATTATATTAATAAGAAAAATAAGAATCTTCAAACATATTAGCAATATTATAATATGCTATATTCTATGTCCACATTTTGATACCTTTAAACTATTCTTTCCAATAAATTATTCTTTATTAATCGTATTTAAGATATTTATTAAACCAAAGCAGCAAAAACAAAATAATAAAAGTATTATTATTTTTATTATTATCGATCATTTTAGGTGGCTTTATTTATGCTGTGAATGGTATGACGTCTAGAAACATACAAATTAAGGGTTTCACTATTGATCCGATAAATCGAAACGTAACAGAAATTTGGGGACCGGAATCTTCAGTAAGTTGTTATGTTTTATATTCGCAATACATGTAATAATTGTGACAAACACATTTATTATAAATATATTGATATATTTTAAAACAGATTACTCCATTCTTTTCTCGTAAAGTAAAAGAAGCATATATTATATTTGTTTCAGCCTTTTATGATGCCTCATGCCATCGCTGTATGCCCGTATGGTACAGCACTCTATGTATCAGAGATTGGACCCAATAAAATATGGAAATTCGATTTATTGCAAACTTGACTAATGTAAAGTTAAACGAATAATATAACAAAATATAACGCCAAAATCTGTCATCTATAATGCTGTACATTATTACCTGATCTTAAAGTAAACCTAAAATCAAATAATTCACAAAAGTAGCGAAATTGAATTCATCTCTTTCTTATCATCTCATTACGTTGCCAATTTTAAAGTTGCCGTAAAGTTTTAACAATAATCTTATCTTCAAATCTAGTACAGTAGATATACTATTAGGTAACATATATAGATACATATTTCATCATTTAGATATATATATGTATATGTGCGTGTGTGCACATATTTTTTTAAATTTTTTATACATAATAATTAGATGCTATATATATATTGTATATAATGTTAGTAATATTTTCGAGAGAAGAATTATTGAATTATAGAGAGAATTCTCCTTTTATAATTCAATCCGATTTTCGTTTTTTACCGTTGTTTTCTACTTAAAATTGTATAACATAGATAAGAAAAAATAGACATAATTATTCGAGAAAATTATTTGAGAACGTTTGTTACTGCACACAATAATATTTAGTATTTATATTTCGTGTTGTACAATTTCGCATCTTGATGGTAACTGATTTTGTCTCAATAACAATAATAGCACTCCGAAGTCACGGATCTAAATATCGATTACAATGTTAAAACTTTTTAATGCTTCCATAATAATTTGTTAAAATCAATACTTATACATAAACTGAGGATGATATGAAACTTGGCCATGTAATAATTAACCAAATTATCATCATCTAATTTGTATTGACATTGTATGCGATGTTTACATATTGACGCTTCACAGTATATGTACAAATCCGTATATGTGTTTCTGTGTTGGTATGTATAATATTTTATACAGCAGATGTGAGAAAGAAAAAGTACATGCAATTTGATATAGATTATTCTATAATTGAGATATAAAATAAAATGCAGTATTCATCGAGTTATATCATTTAATATATATAATTCGATCATATAATTTAAAGCTAGATTCTGTGATTATGATATATAACTATTTATATTTAATCCATGAAAAACAAAGTTTCATTGGTCGTGTCGCTTTATCAACTTATATTTTCAAAAACGAATAAGATAGTATATGAAAAAACTAATTTTCTTCGATGTATTTCGCAATAAAAATATTTACGTGACTCCTATGCTTATGACTTCATAATTCAATACAATATTACAAAAAGAATAAAAACTTTAATTGGATATATTAAACAAAACTGCATATATTGTTTATCCTTCTTCACTTATAATATCACAAATTTGGTAATCTTACTTTATTGCTCACATTTATCTATTCGTTATTACTTAGTTATTTATATAAAATTAATTATTTTAAACTAAATTATCTCAAATTATTATAAAAAATTATCTCAAATTATTACAACTTAGTCAATTTTCACTCCACTACAACATATGCTGGTCATTGTGACACTGAAACCCTCGATCATTAAGTGTGTTGATAGATTCGTAATACTTTCTTCTGATGCATATGGCGGCAACATAATGTATACATATCTTCCACCAAAACTTGTGAGTTTTCCCATAAAACCATATCTCTTCGTAATCGCACAAATAATATCCAACCTTGGATGCGACAATCCCAAGTCATGAATAATTTCTTGATTTAACATAATACAGATCTGCAAAGCATTAAAAAATCGAGATTAAGAAATATACGGTTACCAACAAATAATAATATATTTGAAATTGTTGTAAGCACAGCTATTCAAAAATACACAGCAAAGTAATATCAGAAGTCACAAAAAAAAAACTTACGTTCAATGCTGCGTACTTTTCCTGTAATTGATATAAATTGTCTCTTTGAATATTATTAATTGCAGCAAGATTACTAAAAGCCTGCTTTGATAATGTGTTTAATATATTAAAAACGATGTTTACGGAAGTGGGATAAGAAGATCTCATTTCCGCTAATTTCTTCATTTGTTCTCTCTTATTTTGGCGAATTTTTGAATCGATCAGCAGGATCTTCATTCTTGGCGCATTCAGTTTACGGACTCTAATATTAAGTCTTGGCGAGTTGTAGTAAAATCTTAGTATTTGACCGTGTGAGCACACGTCATGATCGAGTTTGAGTACATAGTTTTGTATTAATTCCTCGCACTTCAGAGCGTATCCCGAGATTTTTTCTAAATCATCATGATTAAATGCGCCGTCAACATTTCTCTGCAGACGCGCCCAATGTAGAAAGCCCGCCGCGAGACATACCGTGAACGATGTCGAACTGCCAAGACCAGCGCGCATTGATAATTGCGTGGTCAAGTGCATGTGAAAAGGTCTTATATCAAATATCTCTTGATTAGCGATGTGTATAAACAGGAAAAAGAATGTTTGTAAGCTAAATTTCTGCGCGTATGTGCTCCACATACCGTTTAATGTGATAAAATATTGCACTCGCCTAAGCAACCAAATATGATCATACAGGAACAGATCAGTCTCCTCATAAAAAAAAAAGTTTAAAATCGAAGTTAAAGATAAGTTCAAGTTTAAATCGACATCGGGAAACTCTATCTTAACGATATCTCTTCTATTATTATCGATTATTTCGCAAAATTTGAGCCTAGTTCGAAGATCTACGCTGGCTGCCACAACATTTTTTCCATACATCGTCAAAGGTTCTCCGTATAAAATCATTCTGCCTGGTGCAGAAACTTGAAATTTAATCATTCTCAATTTTTTAGTTTCGTTTATTTTTTTAGGAAGAAAAACTTGTACTCTCCAAAAAGACCAATAAACGTTGTACAGTGAGTCGCAAAAAATTAAATCTGAGTACTGTAGTTCTTATAAAGATCTATCAAATATTAAATAGTCTTTATGTGTAATGCGAAAAAGATCATCGAGATTGTAGATATTTGTCGCTCCTTTTCTTTTTATATAAATTAGAAATGCGTCGGCTATGTGCGACAAAAATAATTTATCGATATGTTATTGAATTTTTATTCTGTACAAAAAAGTGTACTTACAATTCAATAAAATTCAAATTTTTGTTCTTTGCCGTTGTTTTCCATTTATTGTTAACAAAAGTCATAAATTATCTTTGTTTCTATTTTCAAGGCTCCACATACACAAAAAAAAATCTGGATAATAGATACTATTTTTAACTATTAAAATTTTATAATATCGATAAGAAAAAGAATCGAAACGATGAAAATTATTCGAGAATATTCGTTTCCGCACAAAACAGTATTTATACTTCGTCTTGTTTTCGTGTCTTGATCATGACTGATTTCGTCTCAATAATAATAGCGCTTCAAAGCCGTGAACATAAACATCGACTACAAAGTCAAATTTTTTTAATATGCTTTAATAAGAAATTATTCAAACTGATATATTCAAACCTTACATATGTATAATCTAAAAATTATATATTTCTTACAATATAATATTAAACAAATCGTTATTATCTTATTTGTATTGGCACAATTTATGTGATATTTACATATTGACGTTTTATACAGCATATAGTATAAATGCGCCTACATTTTCCGTGTGTATGCGAGTGTAATATTTTATGCAGCAAAATACAAAAACAAAATTCTTTGACGCAGATTATTTTATAATTGAAGTATAGAGTAAAATATAATATAAGGTAAAATGTAATATAAAGTAAAATAGTATTTGTATATCGAATTATATCATTTTATATACTTCGATTATACAAATAATTTTGACGCAGAAAATAAGCAGCGCTGCCCTTGTTATTTTCTAGATTGCATTACATAAAACTTAATTCGTCTAATAATAAGTAAGATCATACATGTCATCAACTTCAGCTTGAGAATCAAAATCCGGAAAAGGATGGTAATACTTCTTTTCATTAATTTTTTGTATCTTGAATATACGTATAGACAAAGATTCAGCCTGCATAACTTAACTATAAAACAAAAAACATGAATTAAAAAAATAATGATTTGATCAATTTGTATTATCTAATTTTTTAAACAAATTTTGCAATTAAAATATTTGCAATGATTCCTCGCTTATAATTTCATAATTCAATACAATATTATTAAAAGAAAAGAAACTTTAAGTAACAAAAAAAATATATTAAATAAAATATAACTTAAAATATATAAAACTATAATGAAATTCATAATCTTACTATACATTATTCGCGCTTAGTTTAATTAATCATATTATTTAATTATTTTTATACAATTTTAACATACCTCGTCAAATCTCACCCCACTACAACATATTTTGGTCGTGTAGAAATTAAAACCTAGGCTCCTTAATTGTTGGCAAAACACAGTAGTACGTTCTATTAGAGTATTCGGCGGCAACAGAATTAATACATATCTAGCTCCAACACCTGTGAGTTTTCCTGCGAATCCATGAGCTTTCGCAATTGTACAAATAATATCAAAATTTTGATTTGACAAATTCAAGTGATGTAACATGTCTTGATTCAAGGTGATGTTAATCTGCAAAGCATTCAGAACTCTAAGTTAAAAAACAATACAGTTTCCAGCGGAATGTATTCGAGATTCTTATAACAATTGTACAAAAGTGTTACTATATATGCAATAAAGTAATTCGCAAAGAAACGAAACAAAAGACTTACTTGTAGCGCTTCATATAAATTGTGTAGTCTTTGTAAATTGTTATTTCTGTGGCAATTTCCTATTTCACGAAGTGCTGTTGCAACTTCCTGCGATATATTGTCGATCGTATCGAAAATGCGGTCGACAGCGTTATCATATAAATGTTTTGCCTCGGCCACTTGTCTTATCAGTTCACCCTTATGCTGACAAATGTTTGAATCGATTAGCAAAATATTCATTTCTGGCACGTCTATGGGTGTAAAACTGCCGTTTAGCAGTTCTTTATATTGAAATATTATTCCTCGGCCGAATGTGCACACGTCGTGATCAATGTTGAACAAATAGTTCTGTATAACTTCTTCGCAGTGCATAGCGTATTCCGAGATAATTTCTAAATCCTGATTATTAAATGCAATATGGCCACCTTTCTGCAGACGCGCCCAATGTAGAAAGCCCGCCGCGAGACATACCGCGAACGATGTCGAACTGCCAAGACCAGCGCCCATTTTTAATTGCGTGGTCAAACGCACGTAACAAGGTTTTATATCGAGTGCCTCGTGGTGAGCGATAAACAAAAGCAGGAAAAAGAATGTTTGTATACTAAATCTCTGCGGATATGTTCTCCACATACCGTTTAAGGTGATAAAATATTGTATGTGTCTAAGGAACAGGATGTTATCATTAATTATATTATTATATTCCGAGGAAGAAATGAAGTTTTGAATATGTTCTAAAGGTATATTTATCAATAGACCGACATCAGGGAAGTCTATTTCAATGATTCCACTACTGGTTGTTTCGTAAAAGTTGAGCATGGTTCGAAGATCTATGCCGGCAGCCACAACTTTTTTTCCATACATCACCGTATGCTCTCCGCTTAAAATAATCCTACCCGGTGCCGAAATCTTGAATGTAATCATGCTTTTTGCGAATAAAAATCTCTACTTCGCAAAAAAATCGACGTAGCGTTGATCGTAAAAATTTATGTCCAGTCCGTAGCTCTGGGAGGTAGTTATTAGAACCACAAAAAATATGTTTATATGTATATAACACGTGATGAAGATCACCGAGATAATATTTGTCGCTCCTTTTCGTTTTATATAAAGTTGAAAGTGCGTAACGTTAGTTATGTGTGACAAAAATAACTTTTCTCATCGATACGTTATCGAATTATATCGACACACTTTAAAAAACGCACTTAGATTCCATCAGATTCTAATTCTTTTCAATTGTTTTTGTTCTTAGCAAAATAGCCGAATTGTTCGTCACAATCTATCTTCGCTTCTTCTTTCTAGGCTCCACACACAAGTGTGAACGCAATACGTTTACTATTAAACTATTAAAACTTTCATAAACTAAAACAAAAGAGAAGCTACCCACACATAATGAAAGTTATTTGAGAACGTTCGTTACCGCAAGGCAGTGTTTATGTTTCGTGTTGTACAAGCCGCGTCTCGATTATGACTGATATCGTCTCACAGTTCACAGGTAATAACAACTCCGAATATGCGAGCCAAAATATTGACTACAAAAGTCGAAGCTTTGAAAGCTTTAACGGGATGCGTGGCGCTCAGCGTAGAGTCGCGAGCTGACAATCGTCAGATTCTAGATTCAATCCCGCTCGGTTACACATATGGTTACACACACATACAAAAATATATTTTGATGCCAGTTATTATATAATTGAAATATATACTAGTTGTATCTCAAATTATATCGTTTAATATGATATAATTACATAATTTTAATGCAGAAAAATGAGTAGCGCTGCCTTTGTTTTATAAATCGCATTAATTCGATTAAATAAAATGTATCATCAACTTCGGCTCAAAAGTCAAAATTCGGGGCAGGATGATATATGAAATTAATATTTTTTTATTAATTTTGCTTATATATAGATAAAATTTTAATTTACAAAATTTTAATCTATAAAATACATAGATAAAGGCAAAAATATAAACAATTATTTTTTTTCGGACTTTATCTCTATACGATATGCATGTATAACTATAATTTATGTAATATAATACATAAATATTTATATTATGTAGTAATACATAAACGTATGTATCACGTAATAATATATATATTTTCCATATCATGATGTATTAAGTATTAATAATAATATTTTTTATTGTTAATAATGCCATGATTCGTATATTGATTAGACAGATTCGACGCATTTTGTTATCTCCGTTAAAATTCTTGTTTTTTTATTATAGCTACATTTAATGATGGTGTTAAAAACAAGAAAACATGTAAATATTTTTGCAAAATACATTTTTTTAAATTAGTTTTTTCCTATACCATTATATTTGCTTTCGGTAGTATAGATTATTAAAATGTTCCAAAAAATTTTGTGGCATATTTTAATTTTTCTTGTTTTTTGTTTATCCCGCATTAAACTAAATATATAAAATAATCTAGGTGTATTGTAAACTTTCGAAAGTAGATTATATACAAATTCATTCAGATATATAATTGATTAAACCATTTATTAATCGAAAAAAGATCTTCGGTATACTTTTTTACGCGTGACTTGGTACAAGCTATAGTGATCGTGTTTTTTGATCAATCTATTCTTTGAACGCGTATGAGATAACATGAAAAAACTGATTTTTTCCATGTATTTCACAATAAAAATATTAAGAATGGTTCCTATCTCCTGATTTCATAACTCAATACGGTATCAGTTAGAGACCAAGAATTTTTAATAACAGAATATATTTTGAGATACAACTAGTATATATTAGTTATTAGTCATTATTAATCATTGTGATATTGAAACCCTATAAAAATATCTGCTTTTTCAAGAAAATTGATGTAATGTTGAACAGTAGAGCGCAGAAAATTCGAAAATGTTCGTTATCACGAAACGAAGTTTATGTTTCCCCTTGTTATATCATTTCGCGTCTTGGTCGTAACTCGTGATTTTATCTCAACAATCTTCGCGTTGCGAAGAATTAAATATTACGATTACAATAATAATGCTTTTTAATGCTTTAATCAAAAGTCATTCAAACTTATACATAATTATATTTATACATAATCGAAAAATAATAAAATGTATCATTTACAATCAAATTATCATTATTTTATTCGCAGTGACACAATGTACATGATATTATATGTCGCAATTTCGTCCAATATATATACAATACAAATAAAAATTATACTTTGTCGTCGATCAATACATAATTAAGATATATAGTAAAATACAATACTTATATATTGTGTATATATATACAGGGTGTCTCACAACCTCTGTACAATACTTTATTAGCGTGTTCTAGAGGTAAAATAGAAACAAAAATTCTAATACAAAAATTTTCAGGCTGCAATAGTTTTTGAGTTATAAGCGATCAAAGTTTGCCAATGATATCGCGTAAATCTCGCGCGCTCAGGCCCGTAATTACACTTACTCGCGTACCGATCTGTCATCTGTTATTGATTTTTTCAAGTCAGGTGATATTGATTTTTACTGCACATCTGATTTTATTTTCTCGTTTTCTATGTATTACGCTGTGTATATTACGCTTACGTCGTACATTATGGCGATAGGGTAATATTAACAGATTATAAATCTTATACGGAAAACATTTAATTCTTGAATAATTTAATTAAATATTCAAATAATTAAATAATAATAATAATAATAATTAAATTAAACATTATAACATTAATAATTAATAATATTAGTAATTTTACGCGATATCATTGGCAAACTTTGACCGCTTATAACTCAAAAATTATTGCAGCCACAAAATTTTTGTATTAGAATTTTTGACTCTATTTTACCTCTAGAACACGCTAATAAAGTATTGTACGGAGGTTGTGAGACACCTGTATTGTTTAATATAATATAATCTCATAATTTTGACATAAAAGATGAATAGTGCTATCTTTATTATTTTAGATCGCATTTGTCACGTTAAGCTTTCGACAAAACTACATATTTATTGTTTTTCTTCACTTAAAATACTACAGTAATTAAGTTAGTAAACTCACATTTTTTTTACATTTATTATTAGTTATTTGTTCTTATTTACTTATTTATATAATTATAATTGATCATTATAATCATGAATGCTCACTCCATTACAACTCATGCTGGTAATCGTGCTATCAAAACCCTCTGCCATTAAGTGTGTCGAAAGATTCTCAATTAATACTTCTGGAATGTCCGGTGATAGCAGGATGTATACAAATCTACCAAACCCTGTAAGTTTTCCCGCAAATCCACATTCTCTTGCAATAGAGCAAATAATATCCAACTCTGGATACGACATATTTAATTTAGATAGTAAAGATTGATTCACTTGAACGACGATCTGTAAAGAAATCTAAATTAAGAAACAATACTATTTCTATCAGATATAATTATATATTTGCAAATTTTTTAAATGACATTATACAAAAGTATGTAATGAATATCGTTGTTCGCAAAGAAATAAAAAAAGATACCTGTAGTGCTATGAACGAATTTTCTAGTTCAAGTGAATTGCCATTTATGTAGTTAATTTTTATTTCCCCAAGCTTTTCACAAAATTGTTTTGATGTTTTATCAATTTTTTCTAAAATTAAATTGACGAACTTGGAATGAGAATATTTTAGCTCCGCTATTTGTTTCATTTGTTCGTGCTTATTCTGGTGAATTCTTGAGTCAATCAACAGAATCTTCATTCTTGGCATAGGCATGACATAATTTTCAAAATAAATACCGTTCTTGCCTAGAAATCTTACATTTATGTTGCCAAATGAGCATGCGCCGCTATCGACCCCGAACATATATTCTTGTATAATTTTCTCGTACCACGAAACGTAACGCGAAATTATCGTTAATTCATTGAATTCAAATGCATCGTGAGTACCTCTCTGCAAACGCGCCCAATGTAGAAAGCATGCCACGAGACATACCGCGAACGATGTCGAACTGCCAAGACCAGCGCCTATTACTAATTGCGTGGTCAAGTGTACGTGAAAAGGTTTTATATCGAGTCCCTCGTGGTGAGCGATAAACAAAAGCAGGAAAAAAAATGTTTGTAAGCTAAATCTCTGCGGATATGTTTTCCACATACCGTTTAAGGTGATAAAGTATTCCACGTGTTTAAGGAGCAAGATTTTATTCATATTCAAGTAGGTTAAATTATTATTAGAAGACAAATGTTGAACTAGTTGCCAAGATAAATTCAATGATATATCAACATCAGGGAACTCTATCTTAATAATGTTTCTTGGATCATCGATTAATTCGGCAAATTTAAGCGTAGTACGACGATCTAAACCGGCCACCACACTACGTTTTCCGTATAGCATCGCGTGCTCTCCACTTAAGATAATACTACCCGGTGCGGAAATTTGAAATTGGATCATCTTTTTTATATAAATAAAATTATCTGCTCTTCAAAAATATTGATGCAACTTTGAATAGTAGAACGCAGAAAATTAATTTTGCGTGCCGTAGCTCTTACAGACATTCATTAGAGCCACGAAAAATATATTCACATAACGTAAAGAAGATCAAGAGATAATATTTGTTGCCTCTTTTCGTTCTGTATAAGTTATAAATGCGTAATGTCACTTATAATATATATGACAAAAATAACTTGTCAATACTTGTTATCAAATCGATATGCATACACGAGGCATGTACTTAAATTCAATCAGATTCTCGTTTTTTGCTCTTGTGTTTGTTATCAGCAGATGAATGGTAAATTAATTTCTTCCTTCAAGATTCTACACACAAGATTGAATAATACATTTTTAATTTTTAACTTTTTATATCATAGACAAATGAAAGAAAGACCACGCATAATGAAAATTAATCGAAAATATTCGTTACCGTACACAAGACAATGTTTAACTTCGTGTTGTATTATTCCGTATCTCAGTCGTTACTGATTTGATCTGAATATCATAACACTGTTCCAAAGTCATGATTCTAAATATAAACTGTGTCAAACTTTTTCAACGCTTCAATAAAAAGTCATTGGAATATATGTTTTTATATATAATTTATGAAATTAATATGTTATATATTATAAACCATGTAATAATTGATTAAGATATATGTATAATATAGCTATTTATTAATCCATGAATAAAAAAAAAATTTTTAGTATATTTTATTGCTACGCATGTCCTGATACAAGAAGGGATAATATCGTTTGATCAACCTATACTTTCAAAATGAGATGGTGTACAAAGCAAATTCTTTTTACAATAAAAATATTAAAAATGGCCCGTCGCGTTCAACTTCGTAATTCAATATAACTTTAATAAGAAAGATCAGGAATTTTAAATAACAATATATATATATATATATATATATATATATATATATATATATATATATAATATGTATTCCTGCATTTAAATCGCTAACAGTACTATATATGTTGTTCTCATTTATAGTTATTACTTAGATAATTATATAAAATAGAAATTATTTTAATCTTCAATCCTCACTCCATTGCAACTCATGATGGTCCCTGAGACAATGAAATTTTCTGCCTTTAAGTGTTGGATAAGACCTAAGATACGTTCTTTTGCATTCGTAACATCCGGTGGCGGTAAAATATATGCATAGCCACCAGAACCTGTGAGTTTTCCCGCGAATCCATAATGTTGCGCAATCATACAAATGATATTCAATTTCGGATGTGACAAACCTAGATGACACAGCATCTGTTGATGTAATTGAATGAAGATCTGCAAAGTATTAATCTAAATTAAAAAATGATACAGTTATACACCAACGAATAATCCATCCACTTGAAATTTTCATAAACGCAACTACTTAAAAATATATAACAAAATAATATTAAAGGTTGCAAAAAAACTTACGGCTAATGCTGTGTACGATTTTTGTAATTGAAGAAAATTTCTATTTCTGTAATTATTGTTAACTGCAACAAGCATACGACAAGTCTTATTTGATATTCGATCGATTTTATTCAAAATGATATTGATAGTCCAGGGAAAATAATTCTTCATTTGCGCCATTCGATTGATTTGTTCATTCTTATTCTGACGAAATTTGGAGTTGATTAACAGAATCTTCATTTCTGATGGCATATTTATAATCTTAGTATCATGGAGTTGTTGACCTCCGTATCGAAATCTTATTATTTTACCATACGTGCATATGTCAGAGTCGTTCTGGATTATAAAGTTTTGTAAAACTTCTTTGCAGCACGAAGCGTATTTCGAAATCTGAGCTAATTCAAACGAACTGAATTTATTATTGTGGACACCTTTCTGCAGACGCGCCCAATGTAAAAAGCATGCCGCGAGACATACCGCGAACGATGTCGAACTGCCAAGACCAGCGCCTATTGGTAATTTCGTGGTCAAGTGTACGCGAAAGGGTTTTATAACGATTTTTTCGTGATGAGCGATGTACAAAAGCAGGAAAAAGAATGTTTGTAAGCTAAATCTCTGCGGGTATGTTTTCCACAAACCGTTTGAAGTAATAAAGTATTGCACATCTCTAAGCAATTGGGCATTGTCCTCAACGACGTGGATGAAATTATTGCCAGAAATGAATTTTAGAACCAATGCTAAAGGTATGTTCAACCCTAAACCGACATCAGGGAACTTTATATTAATAATATTTCTTGCATCATTATTTAATTCGTTGAATTCAAGTGTGGTACGACGATCTATGCTGGCTAGCACAATCTCTTTTCCATATATCGAGGTATACTCTCCGCATAAGGCAATCCTGCCCGGGGCAGAAATTTTGAACTTAATCATCCTTTTTGTGCGAATAAAAACATGTTCCTAAAAAAAAAAAAAAAAAAAAAAAAAAAAATGTGATATTGAACAGTAGAGTATAGAAAATTAATTTGCATGCCTTATAAATATTTGTTAAAATCTCGAATAATGAATAATGAGATAAGGTTTGCTCGTTTTGTTTGCACGCTTTTTACATTCAGATTTTTCACTTTTTCTTTCTTCATCCGAATATATATTTATCTCGTTTCAAGAACAAAAGATTCTAGAGAGTGCGAGTAAAATAAACAGGTCTAATATATTTGTTGCTTCTTTCGTTTTGTATAAGTTAGCGATGCATAATATCAGTTATCTATGACATAAGTAATTCATTATCAATACGTTATTAAATTTATATTCATACCAAAAAAGGAGGTTTAGATTTAATTAGATCCTCGTAGTTTTCCTATGTTTCTGTTGTAGCAAAATAATCGTAAATCGATCTTCGTTTCTTAATTCTTTCAGGGCTTGACGCACGAAAGATTGAATGATAGGTTCTTAATTATTAAATCTTTATTTCATAGACAAAAGAAAGAGAGACAACGGATAAAGAAAATTATTCGAAAACGTTCGTTACTACACGAAAACGGTGTTAAACTTTGTGTTGTATTTATTCTGCGTCTCAGTCGTGACTGATTTCGTCTCAACACAATAACAGCGCTCTGAAGCAACGATCTCAAATATGTGAACTATAATGGCAAAGTTTTTCAATGCTTTAATAAGAAATCATTTTAAAAAAACACACATACACATAATCATATATATATATATATATTTCTCTCAATATCGACGTGCGTTTATATAAGAAAAATAATAAGAATATAATTAAAAAATAATTTTTACATTAAAAATATTTTTATTATTTTCTCTGTTTAAATGAACTAAAAAAATATATATATAAGAGAGAAATAGAGCTATATATACACATATACTTTATATATGTATAATTAAATATATTTATACATAATTATATCTGGATTATTTCCCAAGTATTATTAACACGAACCGTAAATGCAGGAAAAATATATTCAATTAAATATAATAAAAAATTACTACACAAATTCACCGATTCGGCTAGTGTCATTCATCTACTTACTGCTTCAAATTTATAATCTCATCACCAGGACTTGCTTGATATCCACTGGCGAAATCCGCGAGAAAAATCTATCCATTAATTCTGATAAATATTGCCTTAATTTAGTTCATATGTCGTATAATACGCGTCTTTTAATACGCTAGAAAATTCGTCTGAGTTATTAGGAGAACATATTTCTCGAAGAGGTAAGCTAGAGATAAATTTGACGATCCGTCCTGCCCTCTGGATAGCGACGATGTAACTTTTCCCCCGAATGTCACGACATCACATCACGAACTTTTTCACGTTTTCACCCCTAGGGGAAAGTTAGGGAAAAGTGCGATTGCTGCTCTGATTGGCAGTTTATGTTTAAAAATATCCTTTGTCGATGTTTTATCTATATTATTTTTTAATCGATGATTCTAGTAACTTTGTACGTATGAATTTGGCTAGCTTTTCGGCCGCGATGCCCGCAATCCTCGACACAATTGCAAACACAACTATTCCAAAATGGCTGGCGACAAGATTGTTGACGGTTCACAAAACTGTAACAGCGAAAGAATAAACGAAAGCGGTGACTTGAATCTCAATTTGAATTTGGAGGACGAGCTTGTCGAATCAATCGAATATATACCTTGTCCCGAATTTCAATTTTCGGTAAATCGATTTCTACTCTTTCGATCTTATACTTTGACATTTTTTTCTGTGCTTTATAATATTTCGTGACAACTGGTATACTTATTTTGCATCAGTAACGAAATATTATATACTATTCTATCGTAGAAAACGTTACATTAAACATACGTCATTTATTTGTATTAACGTTTTTCTATATCGAGAATTTTTTGACAATTAATCGCATAATCTTTTTATTGTTAAAATAAGAGTTATCCTCTCTCTATTATACTTGCAAACTATTTGTATAGATGAATATACATATTTATTAATAATATATTGATCACATTTGTAGTTCTTATATCATTTTTTGACTTTTCTCATTATATATTTTTATAAATTTGTGTGTGTATATACATATATGTAAAGTGCGTAAACTTAATTTTTTTAGGCAACAGCATGTTATATTTGTAACGGGTATTACGGACCTTGTTTTGAGGAACCAGTTTGCGCAACCTGTCATGCATTTTTATTCCCAAATGATATTGATCTACTACAAGTTCCAATTTTTAGTGAGGTATATAACTGATCTTTTTATAAAAATCTAATCTATATTCTAATATAATCTGGTTTTGCAATATTATTATTTAACAAGAATTCTACAAAAATACATCTGCATTCTGTTGATAATTTTTATGAAATGTATTAATAAATTGTTAATATTAGTAATTAATGGATACAATTTATTAATATATTAATATATGTTACTTTTCATGCTTTATTAATAATATTAGTGTCAATCTTATCACATATGTGCTTTTTGAATCTAAAATAGAAAACAGATGATGAAGATTCGGGAAATGACGAACCAACTGATCTTTACTACAATCATGAAAGAAGAACTAGTCAACAACAACAAAATTCTCCACAGAGTGTCAATCCTAATATCCCAAACGTACAACAAAATGCATCTAATCATAACATGAATGTTTCTCGCAGATCTTGTGCACAACATCAAAATGCAATGCCTCAATGCAATTATCATGTACTGCAAAATAATTCAAATAGCAATTCTGCTGACAAATGTATGGTAGCATTTACACAGAACGCGTCAGTCTCGCGTGATGTGAATCTCGATCTGCAGAATATGATCTGTCGAACCAGAAGTGGCTGTCATCAGAATTGCGTCAACGGAAATGATCGACACGTTCAGGATATGATGGAGGAAGATCTGCGATCAGATACATTTGCAACAAGCAATGACGGCCAAAACAATGAACATAGAGACAATATTGCACCACAGTATCATTGGAACTATAGAGTGTACGAGGATGTGGGCGAGCCGTCACGGCCATATAATTTATCGGCGAGACTAGAGATATTGTCGAATCACAAGCATATCGAGCACGAACCTATTAACGAACCGGGTTTAGTAGAAAGATTGCCGCCAGAAGTGTTGCTCGCCATCTTCTCACATCTCGACGACATCAGTCTGTGGTCAGCAGCGAATGTCTGTCGGCGATGGTGTGGTCTGCTGTCGACGCATGTAACACAATTGCAATGGAAACAGCACGTGAAACTACGCTGGCCCCTTTACAAACCTATAGGTTGTGTCAAGAACTGGTACAAGGTGTATGATTATCTAGCCTCTTCAGCGCCATGTCGAACTTGCTTGGCGCAGACCTCTCTGCGATCTAGACCTTCCAGAATGGAGGAGAACTCTTGGCGAAGGAATAGACTACGCAGTGAACTCAAGAGTTTAAGAATTGATCCACCTGAAGGAATTGAAGCAATGCCACTCGATCATATGTGTTGCCATTGGCAGGCCACAATCACGGGACCAGTGGGAAGCCCATATGAGGGAGGATTATTTTATCTATATCTACAAGTACCCTTCAGGTATGTATATAAAAACTTGCAGGTAGCTACAATAATTCTGTTTTCTTTCATAACTACAAAACTTTGGCTCTTGACAATAAATTGAAAAAAATCTTAAGAATCTTTGCTAAAGTTTAGTTGCAAGATATCTTAAAAACTAGATTGTAATAAATTATAATATAAAATAGATTATAATAGATTTTAATATAAAAACTAGTAAATGTTTCATTTTTAAAGTTAATTTTTATCTGAATTCTGATATTTATAAGTAAAAAAGTGCCATAATTCTCGCTTTGCATTTAACTCGTGTAACAAATTTTTAATCTTAGTTATATTTTATATTATTAAATTTTATGTATATAACACATACTTTTCAGTTATCCCATGTGCCCGCCTGTAGTCAGGTTTCTGACAAAAATACTTCACCCAAACGTCTCTAGACATGGAGATGTTGGCATAGACTCAATACATCATAATTGGTCATTGGCTCTCACAATATCTAAAGTCCTTATCAGTGTACAAAGTTTGCTTACAGATCCATATTGTCAAGTAAGTAAATTTTTGATATATCATTGATTTAAGAAATAAATCGATCGTTTTGTTCATTTTGATTAAGAATTTCGAAAACAGAAAATGATAAAGTAAATTGATTTTTTTGTCTCAACTTTATAATATATTCTATACGTTAAGATGCATAATACGATTATTCTTTTGTATTATTGTTAATCTATGACTGACATATATACACAGGTATGTATGGAACCAGAATTAGGAGAGATGTATATGAATGACCGTGAGAAATTCGAGGAAGTCGCTAGGGCATGGACATGGAGGTATGCAATGCACGATGTTGTGATGCCGCTTTAGTGCACTGAAATGTATAAATCTGAATTAATTCGTGTAATTAATACATAAATTACTTAGATGTTAATTATCATACATAGATACTTATCTACAAACTATTTAATAAATTGATAATAGTATGTGATATAATTGTGCTAAGGTCTATGAAAAATGTGAATGTATATTTATAGGAATTATTTACTAATCACTATTGTACACTAGTGAATCGATCATTTTGTATCCCAAAGTTCATTATAAAATATATATATCAACATTTTTACATTGTTATTTCAATATTTGCATTTTCATAAAATATTTGTCAAAGATGCAATACATATGGATTTATGAAAATGTTAAGATTTTCAAAAAATGAATAGCTTGGGAAGAAATAAGTACTAACAATAGAAATATTAATTTTCATTATGTTGTATAAAAGATAATATCGATAAAGTATAGTTCATTCCATATAAAAAATTTTTTTAAATCTTAAAAAACTTCAAGTCCTCTTAAATACAGATAAGAAATTTAAAAAATATAATATAATATTAATAAATATATATAATATATAAAATAAGATAATAACAACAATCGAAAAACAAGTATGATTAAAGAATAAACTTTTGTGAGTAAAAAAAGTGCCATAATTCTCGCTTTGCATTTGATTAACTATTGTGTCATATATATATAATATCTTACATCTCTTAATTAATATAATTCTTAATTTCAATAAGCAAAATCTTAATAACAAATCTGGAATTTATGAAGAAAATTAAATCCTGAATAAAAATTTCAAAAAAATCCATTTGAATTAAAATAATTCGATAATAAAATTCTATTATTTATTTTGCATAGTTTCCGTTAATTACAACTCAAAGATTGATGCGTCCAGTTTAATTTAACAAAAAGAAGAAAAAAGAAATTGTTTTAAATTTAATCAAAAGATCTACACACATACATACACCATAAAAATTCAAAAGTGCGATGATAAGAAACGCCTTGTACACAGCGGGAGAGCGTTTATTACCTAACCTAGAAAGTCGCGTGTTCAAACACTCGTCAGTCGCAACATAGTGCTTAAATTATAATTTAATTTCGGCCGAACGAAACTAATCGAGTTTCGGTAGGAATCGAAGCGAAAAGAGCAGATATTTCTTCATACCGGGCGCGTACCTGGAGCTCGAAGCCTCTCGGCTCGCTCCAGGTGACCTGAGGTGACAGTTATGAATCGAGCGACGACGTAAGATGATACTGAGGAGTTTCCCGTTCGCGCAATGGGTTCTGGTTTTAATCCTCTCCGTTGTGATAATCTATCTGCGGCTACGAATAAGCGAGCTCGAGGAGAGCTACAGAGAGCTGCGTGCGTATCCATTATATCGCGAATAACCTCGTTTAAGCGCAAGACTGCTCTAAATTAATATTCACGATGTCAAAATAACGTCTGCTTGCGATTCCTTTTCCAGATGATGCTGTCGTGCAAGCGCAAACTGATATTAGAAATGACGCGCGCGTCGAAGCACCAGGTAATGGAGGCGGTCTCGAGGACGTCGTCGTGATATATAACAGGGTGCCGAAGACTGCCTCCACTAGTTTCGTGGGATTAGTTTATGATTTGTGCAAGCAGAACAAGTACCACGTGCTGCACATCAACGTGACCAATAATATGCACACCCTCACTCTCACTAACCAGGTGCTACATCATTTTGAAACAATTCGCATATTGCTCAGCTATAGAATGCAATTGTTTATGTTATAGCATACTTTTTGAAATATACATTTTTACTTTGGTACAAGATACATGATAATATTTTACATAGTAGAGCACATATGAAGTATAAAATATAAAGAGGTACTAAATTTCATTTATGTCTACTTTGTGTCTATCATTTCTTTGTTAAGATTTAGATATATACTTGTTTCATCTAAAATATAAAAAATAATGAACAAATCTATTGCAGCTCTTAACTATACATTTGCAAATTACTATGTAAACTTTATTTTATTTGATATATTTTAAATTATATATCAAAAATAGTTCTTTTTATCTTTTCTTATCGATGCAATAACAATTACAATTACAATATTTTAAATTCATATTTTTCTAAACATTTTCTTTACCTACTATTTCATATAATAGGGATATTTTATTATATTAATGTATGGCTATTATATACATAGATTCAATTTGCAAACAATATATCAAACTGGAATTCTATAAAACCAGCATTTTACCATGGGCATATGGCATTTTTAAATTTTGAAAAGTAGGTATAGCAAAGTTTACATCCTTTATAAGATGAGATAAATTTATTTGTTGTCTTTAACAAATAATACTTTAATTCACAGATTTGGTATTAATCGTACACCTTTGTATATAAATTTATTGAGGAAACCTTTAGACAGATTTGTATCCTATTATTATTTTTTACGATATGGCGATAATTTTAGACCTCATCTTATAAGGAAGAAACATGGAGATACAAAGGTTTGTTTGTATCTGAAAAATATTTAGAAAATATAAATAATTTCATTCAACTAATTAAATTATTCTATTTGTTTAGACATTTGACGAATGCATAAACATTGGTCAACCTGACTGTGATCCTAATAACATGTGGCTACAGATTCCATTTTTGTGTGGGCACGATCCAGCTTGTTGGTAAATCTTCACCTTTTAAAACTTTGCAAGTGAAAAAACGATTTTACAAAAATTTTTTGTCTTTTTTAAACATATTTTTAAACATAATATATATAATTATGGAGAATTCGCTAATTATTATAATACTTTCTCATTTGTAACAGGGAGATTGGTAACAACTGGGCATTAGACGAAGCCAAACGAAATCTGCAAAAGCATTACTTTCTAATTGGTGTGACCGAGGAGTTAAATGATTTTGTGGAAGTATTGGAATATGTACTACCACGATTTTTCAAAGGAGCGTATAACTTTTTTTTACATAGTAAGTGTGTCTATTAGAGCATTTATTAAAACTTTTTCTCGAAATCACAGTAACATATATTTTTCCTTTATTCAATTATCACAGTTAACATATCATGAATCACATTAAATATTATAATATACTTTTCTTTTAATTTCAGACAACAAGTCACATTTACGACAAACTACTCAAAAACTCAATCCATTACCTGAGACAGTAGAGAAGATTCAGCAGTCGGTTGTGTGGAAAATGGAAAATGAATTATATAATTTTGCTTTGGAACATTTTCATGCTGTAAAAAGACGACTCATAAATGCTTCCCCTCAAGATGCAAATCAGCGCTTTATGTATGAAAAGATACGGCCAAAATAAATCTCTACTTTTTTACATAAAACTTTACTTGAAGAATATAATAATGCAAATTTACTTCCAATATTCCTGCGACGAATAACTACTGAATGTGTACTTAATGTATATATAATTAAATGCAAAAGTTTTTTTTATAAAAAAAACATTAATTTATCATTAATTCTATGTAGTTTTAATAATTTATTTTTTTCCTACATATATAAACTGGGCACGACATAAAAGCTTTCCTTCAAAATTTTTTATCTTAGCACTTCCAATTTCTAAGAAACTGATATAGTTACATAAATAATTTAGATAGATCTATCTAAGGATGCATTATGAAAAAAAGTAGAACAATGACATATTTGATTTGTATACTATGCATCATTAACTAATTCACTGTAATGATTTTTTGGTCTAAGAGCAAACATATAAACTGGATATAAACCACGCGGAAATTTAGTTTGTTGTTGTTCCTTAACACAAATAAGATCAGCTTTATCAAACAGAAATTGCAAGCATTTCATTGGTCTGGTTACAGAGGAATCCTCCGTGTCAATTTCCAAATTATTGGAACTTGTAATATTTTCTTTTACCACAAGTACACCAGTATTTTTTAAACCCAATCTGCAAATCCAAATCACAAGGTGAGAAATAATGCTTCGTTCTTTTTCCATAGTAAAGCAGAATGGAAACTCACGAGCATTTTCTGAAAAATTCTATTAAATCATCATCCCGTAGATGCCCCAATACCCATTGACACCATATAACATCATATTTATTTGCTACAGGGCAGAAGTCTTGCAAGCCTTGAAAGACAAGTATATTTATATATCTGTCGCATACTAAAAATTTAAATCTTACAAATATAAATACACTACCAATCGGATAATACTGATCGATTCTCGATGAATAGTTTTCCAGAGAGATTTTTGCTACCTCTAAAAACTTGGGATTTTGCTCGACTAGATCTATACGTTTAAAATGTTTTATTAATAAATTTTTGGTGATTCTACCAATACCAGCACCACAATCTAGGGCACACGCTTTGGAAGGTGGATTTTTTAACTAAAACAGATTAAAATAGCAGTTTTTTTTTGCAGATATCACATTTTTTTTACATTTAATCTCTCTCTTTTCTTATAATTTATTTTCAAATTTTTATTAAATTGTGATAAATTGTAAAAATTATATAGAATCTTATTTTGTAAAATCATGACAATTTTAATTTTTGAAATGGGGATTGATTTTATAATCCATTTTAATTTATCTACATTTTAATTAAACGTGCAATTGATTTCTGATCGATTCACCAAACCCATAAAAAATAGGTTAAATTAGGTTAGGCTAATAATACGTACCTCGAAAAGAGATTTTAGAAAAAACGTGGAGCCTTTTATGTCAATCTGCGAGATAAATCCGAATCCTCCTAACATCCCGTCCACCGTAGGCGGAATGCGGTCCCAATATTTCGCAGCTGCGACATAAAATTCGCCCTTACACGTGTTCGCGTCATGTTGCTCTTTCTGCATTTTCGGACACTATGCTCTAGGATTTTCACAAATACACCACGCGCGCGATTCCTTACGAGATTCTTCGCATTCTCGTCAACATAAATATAAATTGAGACATTACAAAAGTTGCAATGTTATGAAACAAAATATCAAAGCAGCGAGCTCATAAATTATTCCGATATATGCGCCATGCGTGCCAGAATCACACACATGCGTTGACAAGAGCAGCGTAAGACGTTTCTTGAACTTCGTAAAAAAATTTTTTAAAAAGAAAAAATAAAAGTAGAAAAAATATTATTAAATCTCAAAGACTCAAATTATTACGATCAAAATATTATTATTTATTCTTTATGTATTGTTATTTATTATTATCATAAATAAATTTATTATTTAGTCATGATAAAGCTTTTCAAACCATTTCTTTTGACGTTTCCTATTCGTATTTATATAAATTTATAATGTGATATTAGTAAAATTTATTTCGATAAGATATATACACTATTATACTGCATTAATAAAAAAAAATTGTTGACAAAATTAAGATAATCTATCTTCTCAAAGAGCGACTTCAAAATATCAAAGCATCATACTATGTAGAACATTTTTTATTTAAATAATTTATGCTACTTGTTTTTCAGTAATATAAGAGAGAGCTTGTGAATCACAAACATTTAAACTCTCAATAATTGGCAAAGTATCAGGAGAAAGTATCAGATAAAAAGTAGCACAAATTACATAATTCCAAAACTGTGCTTTTTTAAGCTAACTTATATACTAGCTTAAATATATCTTAATGTATAAATGTACTTTCATGCTCTTAAAGAAACAAATTGATGGAACACGTCTAAAATATGAGGATCCAAGTCTGGAGTAAACAACAAAGTTTCCAATGTTGAGGAATACTTTTGTACTTGTTCCTGATGCTGTAAAATAAACACAAATAAACATCTTGCAATTATAATAAACAAACAAAAGAGTATGCTAATATTATATACTAATAATTTCTAAATCCTATTGTAAAAAAGTAAAATTGATTAATATGCTATCATATGATAATAAATAATTTAACTTACAGATAAAAAAACTTGTTGTAGTCTTCCTATAGTCCATTTATACCAATGCGTATTGTAGTCAATTCCATCTGTGTCACAGCGCACTAAATGTTCTGAGAGGATCATTATAAATCGCTAAGAAAAAAAATATTTATATAAAATATACAATAAGTGCAATAAATTTATTTCAAAAAATGTTATTTTTCTTTTGCGATAATAAATAATGTATATCTTTTATACCTGAAATATGATGAGAAATAAATTTTTCTGATCTGCTTGTGCAGCTTCCAATTTTTCTTCCATTCGTTCTACCACATCTTCTGATGGCCTCTCTCTATTTTTTTCTTTATTATTGTCCTCATCATCCGAGGAAGAGCCCGATCTACTTTCTGCTCTCCTCAATTTTTCCCTCGCCTCTACTAATTCTGTACTCAACTTTGTCACATGTTTGTTCATCTTGCGAATTGTCAAATGTAGTATCTCCCAAATATATAATCTGAAAACAAGTTTTTGAATTCTTATAAATTAATTTTCAACATATATCTATAAAACAATTTTGCGAATATTTAAAAATATAAAAAGCGAATGAACATGTTACAATAATAGCACAATACTTGTTAAGTAATAAACAAACTTTGTAAATTCGGATGTCATCTCTTTGGAAAATATCCAATTGGCGATAGCACTACATTCAATAATACCAGTTTTTAAAAACTTGTCAGTTAACACTACCATCATTTGATAATGATTCTTCCACAATGCATACATGTTTCTTAATATACATATCTGAGCTTCTTCCGTTTCAGCAAGTACCTGTAATAAAATGTATTCACAAGTGTACATATATAAAAATCTATACGCACATACACATACATATGCGCAACAATTTTATGGCAACACTGTTATAACTTACCTTAAAAACATAATGAAATTTAACTATAGCCGCAAAACTGTGACTAAAACTTTTTGAACCCAGATTTAATAACGTTTGTACAAAAACGTCAATCTTTAAAGGATTGTAATTATTTGTTTCTTCATTTTCCCTAGGACCAGGCAATGTATTTAATACAGTTAGTACTTCTTCTGGTGTACATTTGCGTCTTATAGAAACCACCAATTCATGTGCAGCAGCTGTACCAGGGAGTGAACCTGTAAAGTAGTTATGAAAAGTTTGCTAATATATTAATCTGTTATTTTTTCTTTTTTTTTTCTTTTCAGTATTTACTTTTTACCAATATCTTTATCGTTTTTAGTAAAATCGCATAATTTTTAATATAATGTTAGAGAAAAATTTATATTTAAGAAAGAATTTTATTAATTAAATTATATAAATATCTAAAATTTTCGTATAAATTAAATCACTATGCATCTATCTTTTTAAATTTCTAAAGAATGTGATTTTTCTACCATTTTCTACTATTCCATCATGTACTTACTAGCACCTTCAGATGAATATTTGTACACGGGATCGGGAGCCACTGGAATCAGTTCTACATATGAATCTGGCATCATATCCCGAATCCTTTGATAATATGATAACCTAGAAACGGAAAGATTTCAAAATAATTTCATGTTTTAATAAAAACGTGTAAGTGCTTTGATAATTTCAATTAGTTTTGATGTAAAATTATATATATCTTATAACAAATTTATAAGAAAAAAGTAATTTGTACAATATACTGACCTCAGAGCTTTAAGAAGAACTTCTCGTATAAATTTTGGCCTTGGATGTTCTGAGTCACGTTGCAGACAAGAATCCCAATCTTCCCACGACCAACGAAATTGAAAGTTGCTCAAATGATATGCAAACCACCAAACAAAACGATCAAAAGCAGTAGCTGCCATACTGTCTATACGGCGAAACAGAATTTCTGTCGCCTGTGCTAGTACCTGGAAAATACAATTTAAACACATTATTTTTTTCTATTACAATTTCAAATAATAAAATACTATATTTGCAAAATTAATTTATTTTATAACCTGTGGCATAGTTGAAGGTTGCAACTTGCAAAGTTCTATCAAAATTGATCCATAACAAATCTCTAAATGTTTTGGAGTAGGTAGTCTAAACAATTCACCAAATATTACTTCAACAATACAATAGTCCAAGGGAATTTTGGCTTTGAATGGAAAATTCAGTAGTTGAGCAGCACTGTAAAGTATAAAAATGATTAATCTTACATATAATTCAAAATAACAGTATATATATATATATAATAATTATTATAAAAAATCTTTTTATAATTGATTTACAAAATGTTATATCTGATTTCTATTACCAATCTTTTCTCTCAAAATAATAATTGTTAATGATCTGTCGCAAGTGTTCTTCTATTAGAAATCTCTCAATAGCATGACTTCCTGGTAATAATGGTCCTTCGGCAGGACAATCCGTATAATCAAACATACGAAAGACAACAGTAGGCAATGGATAAGAATAAGATTCATGGTGCGGAGGTGGCATTAAAGGCGGTAAATTATGTTGCAACGCTTCGCACAAAATTGAATCAAATGCAAGATATGGGCGTGGAATATGTTTCTCGGCCCAATTGTCTTGTCTTAGCTTGCGAACTTGTGCCCATAAGCAATCTAAGTATTCTTCTTGTGGATGAGGTGTATCGCTCGACCAAACTCTCAATGCTGGCTGATGTTTCTTGCTTCGTTTATTCAAAAATATTTCTATTGTAACCATTAGATGATCCAATTCTTGTTCTTTTTTTTCATATAATTCCCTCCCAACCCATGGCAGCGTTGATAGAACGGCATAAACATACCTACAAAATATTATTTATAATTTATAATTGAAAAGTGTGGTACAAATATACTTATGGATTTATTTCATATAACTCGTCTAACAAAGATGCCTTTCTAAGGAAATAAAGATATTTCTCACATACCAATCACGTCTTACTTGTGGTACACCATCTTCATTTGCAGCATCAAGCATATTGTCAAATAATTGCATCAATGATCCACATGATAAAACATGGCAATTTACTAAATCAGTCAAAAATCTAAGAGAATATCTGGCTACATCCCATTTACATGCTTTCAAGGAATCCTTGAAATTTTTCACCATGTAATCAACAAATTCTCCGCCAAAATTAAAATTTTTTGCATTTAGTAGCCCAACGAGAGTAGTATAAATTGTGCACTTCTCTGGCATTTTAATAGCACAATCTGTTAAAATTCGTAGAATCTTACTACGAAATAAACCTAGGTCAGCTTCTAATACAGAAGCTAAACCTTCCAAGTTGCTTTCCAAAGATGATGTTGATTTCTCTCCAACGCGAAGGATGAGAGATTCAAGGCGATCTTCAATCTCTTGATTCTCTGATACCCTCCTGCGTTTTTTATATACTCGTTCTAAAAAATATATATATATATAATTTTACAGATACAATAAATGTAAACATTTATGCAATTGCATTGTAAAAATAAACTGATCAAGTCAGATATGGGTTCAGAGTTAAATTAAAATAATTTATAAAACTGTAATTGTTTTATAAAGAGAGCAAACTCTGGTTAAAATTATCATTTAAAAACTTCCAGCATCTTCCTCCAATCGTTATTAAATCTTTATTAGATCGGGCGATGACTAGTTTATTAAAATCAACTTATAAATTCTTATAAATCTTTAAAACATTTTATTTCATTGACACGTCGATAGAATTATATCATACTTTAGATATAATTTTAATATTCATAGATAGCCATCCGGCAAATCGTAATATCCGAGAAATAAGAAAACAGCAATAATTCGAACAATAATTACCATAGCCATCATCCTCTTCGTGTACTCTTCTACGACTCATATTTTACTCTGTTTCTCCTTACTAAATTTCCAGTAGTTTACTCCAGTTTGCTTAGAAACGTTCTAATTCTGTTATACGTAAACGAGTCATATATCACCATTGATCACCATATATATGAATTAGAAATCGTGCAATGAAAAGATAAGATGATGATGGATAAAATCGCGTAATGGCGGATTCGAATCGTGGAGCATTCGCTTTGCAGAGATTTCGGGGTGAAAACCCATGCAGCGGAATAGCGTAACGAGAGCGGAACCAATCGCGAGCGTTCAGCAGTTTTTGTTACGCTCGCGATTGGTTTCGTTGAAACAACAAGCTTTCTTATTGGATATTCGACATCGCGTCACATCGAACATGCAAATT